TGACGAACGCTGGTCTCTCCCATCTTTCCCAGCGTCTGGGCAATTACCTCAAGCAGAGATAAAACCAGATAAATAACAAGTTATCACCACCTGACGCTAAGCTATGGAACTCAACCAGTTTGTAGTTAACAAGCGTAGATGATTGCAGGATTTTGGTCTTTTGGGTAAGCGACAGGTACACCAAAGAGAATTTAATTATGCGACAGGGGCCTCAGTCGTCAAGAGGAGGAGACTGGAGGCAGCGTGTGGTCGAGCACCTCTTCCTGCCAGCTACCAGTCTGGTATCAAAAAGTAAAGGGACTTGACCCATTCTACCTTTGGGTTATTTAAAAACAATGCTCTTGGTGATGAGCAAAAGATGAACGTCCACAAATGTATGCGAACACTCTACTTCCAGTTGACTGTATGAGTGAAGAAGGCTAGTCGAACACCAGAACCATATTACAGAAACCATCCGGCGACTCACAAATGGAGCTGTGTGAGAATGTTCTTCAAACGAACTCAGACTCGTTGCTGTAGGCGGGAGGGAAATGTGCGCGTGGCCCGATATTTCCACGAACAGTTTATGCATAATGGCTCTCCGCTGGCTTTTATAAGCCGGTGCTCACGCGTTTGGTGACGGAGGGCCCAAACAAAAACAACACCAAGGAGATGGCACGCTTTATCATAGATGTTTCAGAAGTGATTGAACGCATCGCTGTGGAACAAGGTGTAGGCATTGTAAACCAACCCAAAGCTACCATGCGCAACAGGGTGATGACATCCAAAAAGCGATTAAATCCGAAAGAGCAGTATGGGGTAGTGCATCGCATCCCATGCCCAGGCTGTCCATGGAGTTACACAAGTCAAACTCAAAGCATATTCGGATTGCGAACGTCAGCTGGCTGTGCGACGGGGCGACAAATTATCGCAAGTTACTGCTTACACACCTACTAAATGGACCATGAGTCGAATTCCGCAGCAGTAAAGATACCTGCCCATGCCGGAGAAAAAAGACAGGCCCAGAATTGATCGGAGCTTGGTCCATGGGTAGGAACTCAATCAATTGGTGTAAAGATTTGGCGCCGACGTATAGAGCCTTGCGTACTTACATCCAGACGTGCAACAGTACTTGTACAGTGATAGTTGATGGGTCTACACCACTTATTTTCCAGTCTGTCGCCTATTTTGTTTCTGCTGTTATCCCCTGATGATGTACTCTTACAAGACTTTGGGAGTCAAGAGCAATAAACAAATTGTCCCGCTGCTTCATCAGCCGTCTTCTCTACTCATAAACGCCCACAGCCAGCTTTACAGATTCTACAATAACAACTATTAATATTAATTGATGGCAGGCAGAATCGCCCGCAGAAGGACCTAGATCAGTTATTAGATGTCAACTGGGGTAAGCATCTTACGGTTGGTTTACCTCGTGCAAGCAAACACTACCTACTGATGTGACAAAATGAGTAAAAGCACGTATGAATATTGGCACAGCATGGTTAGTTAAATATATGGATAAAACTGTTAAAAATAGCGGTCTAATGCAGAGGGTGACGTGAATTGCATGACAGAAAGCAGTACAACTGAGAGGCCGCTTGTCTTCAGCACAGTGATTGAGGTAGCAATGGGAAATTACGGAAGGGCACAGAACAGGCAAAGGCACCCTGCTCGAAAATGATTGCTGAAGAACACAAAGGTGAACGTCAAACAGTCGTTGTTGACGTAAGTCGGCCAGCCATGCCCTAACTTCGATTGGAGAGCTGCATTTATAACGCTGAGTACTGGGTAACTCAGTCAAGAGCCACGGACACACCCCATCGGCTGACATCGAGAGCATGCAGTCGGGTGGGGAGAATCGTTCACCGATCCTACTCAATTACAGAACGGAACACAGACGCCCCGTGTGTCCTCTAACTCTGGGACTGAGACTGGCAAAACTGTCTTGTAGGGCCGCCTAAAGGGCTTTTTTCCCCACCCAACTATTTTACGTAATTTGCGTTTGAACATTTAATTCTTGGTTAGAGAGTGTAACTGAATACTTAGCTGTGTTGGAAGTGACCAACAAATATTAAATCAAAGAAACTTATTATTCATTTAAATGTACTAAATAGAATCAACTCCCCCTCTTTCCCCTCTCTTATGACTTTTAATTATCCCTTCCCCCTGTAAATGTTGCTTGTTTTCGTTGACGATATTATTTCCGTAAATATTCCCACCCAACATGCCAATCTCGCCTACTGGCACAGGCTTATATAGCCCACAGTGGCAAGTCGGCGGCACAAACACACAATTGTTGATTTTCTGCACGTTCTAATTTTAGTTGTTGTACACACGCCACAAGTAGCCACCCTATTTATTGCTTTTTTTCCATGTCTGACGATGGACTCCTGCAGGAGCCCGAAAGCTCAGAATAAAATACAAATCGTTCCGGTGTGCGATCATATGTCACCTTTACAGATAGAATCAACTCCATCAACATAAACTCCTGTTTCTCAGGTAATTGATGCCTATCGAGGGAAATTGAACCTTATATTGGCGGAATTTAACGGAAAAAAAC